TGAGCCACATCCCCAGCCCAGGGAGTTGGATTTTTGAATCTGTAACTCTCTGTGGCCTTCAGGTCTTTTCTGATGGGTGGTCTTCTACAGTCGTAGAGACAGAGTAGCAAACACCCCTGATCCCAACCACACACACGTTCTCTCCTCCCCTAGCCCCGCCCCATCTCTCTAACTCAGTTGCAGGGAGGTTGGCAAACAGCACCCAGGAAACTGGCAAGATCTGGCAGGGTGGTCAGGAGCTAACAAGGTAGGCCAAGGTTCAGGGATTCATCTAAGTGCAGGGAAACTGAGCCCTAGTAGATATATGTTGCCCAGAATTCTAGGCAGGTATGAATGACTAGAGTCAAGTCCATGGGAGCCAGACCTGCTCCTGGGATGGCTCATTAGTAGACTTGTGACCTGGTGGGCTTGGCCTAAGGAACCCATAAGCAGAATCCATAGCAACTACATAGAAAGGTGGGGAGTCTGGAGACATCTGAGGCCAATGAATTGGGAGTGAGAGGGGCTTCATGAGGGCCTTAGAGTTGAGATGGGGCCCCAGTGGACGGTCAGGACTCAGATGGAGGCCAAGACCAAGGGATTCCAGGCAGAGGGAGGGAGTGAAGATTCTGGCGTGCTTTGACCCACCAGAAATATGAGTACAGTGCCTGGAACAGAGTGATGGCCTGTCTCGCAGGGGAGGAGCCTGGGATAGGGCCGAGGAAACAAGGCCAGGACAGGGAGCTTTGAAGGCCAGGCTAGTGGTGAAGAGCCAATGGCTGGGTTTTGAGCAGACAGTTATGTGCAGAGTTGAATATTACAATGATGAATCGGAGGGTGGCACAGTGTCCGTATTGTTCTTTCTGTCTGTACTGTAGAAACTTGGATCGTAATGGAGAGGCAGGATTCCGGAGAGTGGTCAGGGGAGAAAGGCACTGGGGAGGAAGTGACCAGAGGCAGCTGGAGCAGGTTCTTAATAGTCCTGATCAGCAGCCTGGAACGTGAAAGGCCTGGGCAGAGGCAGTGGGAGTGGCGAGGAGGGGAGAGGTGGGAGCATCTTGAAGGGAAAGCCCTAAGGGCTAGAGGCGGATGAGCTGCAGAGGATGTGTGTTTAGGGGGCCAGGGCCTGTTGAGGGGAGGCTGGCTGCAGATAGAAATGCATTCTGTTTCCATCCCATAGGGCTCCAGGTGACCGCGAAGGGCCCGAGGGGACAGGCTGTCAGGCATTTGGACCTTAAGAACTGAGGTTGGGGCTGGAGATGAAGATGTGAGAGGCCTCTGAGCAGAGATGAAACCAGAAGTGCAGAGGGATGGAGAAAGAGAGAGAGGAGACCAATGACAGAAGTTGGGACAACAGCCATCGTTGGGGCCAAGAGGAAGGAGAGCAGATGGAGCAGCCCCAGAAAGAGGGGTCACAGGGGCCGGAGACTAGGAGGCAAAGGGAGAGTGCAACTCCCTGTTGTGTCCAGCCTCCACGGGCTTCTGCCACTTTGCCAGGCTGACCTCTCTGCTGGTCCACGCTCCCCAATGTGTGTGCACATATGGCATGAGCGTGTGCACACATGTGCTCCCCAGCACAATCCTACAACCTTATTCAAGGCTCAGCTCTGGTGTTCTCTTCCCTGGGAGGCTCTCGGTAGCTCCCTGCTCCAAGTGCAGTTTAGATGTCTGCCTTGTGTGCCCACAGCTCCTCCCTGCCCTCCCCATGGCATCTGTCAGACTGCACTGCAACTCCTCACTCTAGAAAGGATCCTTCCATCAGACGTGAGCCTTGCAGGTCTGAACCTGCTCTCTGGTGCCACGGATATAGATAGATCTGCTGCGAGCCCTAAATGGGTGGCAGCTGGTTGAGGAGAGAATTTCCAGGAGGGAGATGGAGCAAACAGAGACCCCTAAAAAGCCCGTAGGTGTTCAGCTGTGGCCTTTGAGGCTGCAGTTTGAGTGGAAGGTGGTGAGGGGGGAAGTCCATTTAGAACAGAGCCCTTCGTCCGAGTTACCAGGAGTCGCTCACTCATCTCCTAGGCACGCGTCCCTACCATCCGTCTATGCCGTGATTTGAATCTGCTGTGATCTTCACTGGCTTTTCCCTGTTATGTGGTGTTTCTGGTCATACAGTCCTTTAAAGCTGTAATTAGAACTTGTCCTGTACCTAGGCACATAGTAGGACCTCAGAAAATATTTGTTTGGGAGGAATTACATCCATCCAAAAAATGAGAGCTGTTATAAGAGGAGAAACTGACCACCACTCCCAGGGAGAAAGGGGCTCATGTGGTCTGATTCTCAAGTCGCTGGGGCACTTGTGAAGGAGCCTGAGCCATTTACTGGAAAGGGTGCTGGAGTGAGAGCAGGCGTCCTGGGTGGACTCTGCCCTACTCAGCACCAGTTCCCACCCTGGACATGCACATTTTCTGGAACCAAGCATAATAAAGCTCAGTATGCGTTTCATTTCATGAATGTTCACAGCAATCTGAGAATATTGGTTCATGAACTAGAAAGGACTGATGTAGCTCATTGGGAGAGCACTTGCCTAGCATGCTCAAGGCCCTGGGTTCCATCTCCAGCACTGAGGAAGAAGGAAGGAAGGAAGGAGGGAAAGAAGGAAGGACATAGGGAGACTCAAAGAGGTAAAGCGGTAAGACACAGGTTGCTGAATCATATCTCTGACACTGATGCCCTCTCTCCTAAGTCCAGAGCTTCACGGGACATCTGCCTAGCCATCCCCAGGGACCAGGAGGAGCCTATAATTAGGAGAGGCACTTGTCTGAAAAGGGGCAAAGGTGAGCCCTCAGGAAGGGACAGGGGAAGGGAACTTTCCATGTCCAATTGAACCATGTGACTCTGAAGAGCAAAGAACCGTGTGACTTGAACTTAGTATTTAGGGCCAAACTCTGTCTTGGATGCCTGGAAATATTTGACATGATGTCATGAAAAGCTATGAAAGTGTCTCTCTGAAGCTCCAAGGAAGGAATTAGTCTTTTGCACGTACGTATGTGTTCAATTTTCGGCTGTCCTGATTTCTCTCAAAAAGCCCGTGGTTCTTCCTCAGAGCTTATCCAGGCCCCTCTGTGCCTCATCTGCACTGGGGCAAGTCCTGCATGCCTGGCTCCTTTGGCGTCATTTTTCTGGCTGACTGGGTGGCACTCTGTGACATTTCTCAATCACACACTGTCAAGAGCTAAGAAAACTAAAATAAGACCAACCTTTCCCTAACCTCAAATGATAAGAGGGATAACTGAGTTGCCCCTGGATTCAGATGGAACCTGGGGCTGTAGGTGGGGCTGGGCAGAGTTCCTCCTCTGCTGAAGGAGGCAATCAGGGGAGACCCAGGCTTTTCTCGTGGGAACTCACAGTCGAGAAGACCCAGAGAGAAAAAAAAAAAAATCTAGACATGGCCTTGGGGAAGTCATTATCCCCAGACAGTGTGTCACGTGGGGGAGCAAATATGGAATGAGTGGAGAAGGCACAAATCGCAGGAGCCTGGGGTGGCCTCACTGTCTGGTGGGAGAGACCGGTGTGCACATGTGAGTCCAGACATGGGTGGTGGGTGCTGAGATTACAGGAGTGCGCCCAAGGCACTTGGGTGTTAGGAAAGACTCTGAGAGGAGGAGGAAAAGAAAGACAAAGTGTCTTAGAGTACAGCGGCCAGTGTGCAGGACTAGAGGCCTAAAGTAGCCCAGCATGCTCCCAGTTTGGGGCCAGCATAGGTTTGGCTGCCCTTTGCACCCTAGGGCCTGCCAGTTGCCTTTCCCTGGGTCTCAGCAGACAGGATGCACAGCAGAGACCATCAGGAGGATTAGATCAGTGGAGGCAGGAGGGAGCAGGATAGGCTTCCTGGAGGAGGACATGGGCCTGGGGCCTCAGCGAAGGAAAGGGATTGGACAAGGAGGAAGGAGGGCAGGGTAGGAGCCCAACAGGAGCAAAGAGCCAGAGGCCCCGTGGCAGCCTGGCACGGTGGGTCCTCAAACTGTAGGGTGCCTTGTGGTGGGACACAGCACAGTGCCGGGCACCTGCTGATGAAGCTATAGCTTTCTCTTCTCTGAGTGGCAGTGAAGGCTGGGAGGAATCGTGGGGTCAGGAGAGGCTCTGCAAAAGGAGCAGCTGCTCCCTACTCAGGGCACTGAGAGAGTCGGGCTTAGACGACCAACTCCTGGGCTTCCAGCAGATTTTGACCACTGCACACCTCTGACCACCTTGAAAGCAAGGATGTGAGAGGAGACCTCTGACCTTCTGGGAATCAGGACATCGCTCCTGGGACATTTATAAAGTGAAGAGAAGGATGCCCTGCTGCTCTGTCACCTCACTACGCATTTGGGAGGACGGCGTAGATGGTGCCAGAGAGATCATTCCAGCCTACGGACAAGGCAGGGATTCAGGAGATGCCAGGCCCACTGGGCACCGCTCAGCTGGTTCTCCTGAGGTTGGGCGCGTCCTCCTCCTCAGAGGCACTACCCCCCACACCCTGCCACTTGTTCCCTTGGGTTTGGGGACGGCACAGCCCGGCCAGCTTCACCTCACATCTGGAGGGACTTCCTCAGGCCGCCGGGCTGGAGCCTGGCCCCTTCTGCAGACCCGCCCACGCTCCTGGCAGCAGGAACACAGGCAGGCCCACCTGGCCTCGCAGCCTCCCTCGTGGGGAGGACGGCGTCCAGTCTGCTCCCGGCCCGGAGCTCATGGAGTTTATTTATTTATCATTTGTTTGGGGTGAAATGGGAGAGAATCAAATCCAATGGGCTGTTTTAGCAGCAGTTGGTGGAAAGAAAGGCCTGTCTGTTTTTCCCCCAAAGAATCCCCCGCATTGTGGCCCCGGCCCTTTGGTTGGGTTTCGGCAGACAATGCTCTCCTTTCTCCCTAGGCCCGAAGGCTCGCCCCCCTGCCTGCCTGCCTGTCTGCCCTTGGTCCAGTGGGCCTGCCACTGCCCACTTGGCTTACTTACTGGGAAGGGAGAGAGAGGAGAAGCCTGAGGCCCTGGCTCATCCATCCAGCCCAGTTCACTAGGCCCTGCAGGACTTCTGAGGCCGCCACACCCCTGATCTCTCTGTTTGGAGCCCATTGGTCCATAAAAATGCCACCACTGTGCCCCCACGCATGATGCCAGCACACTCCCTTGCTGCCATCTGAGGTCCATTGACATTTTGCAGATGGAGACTCTAAGGGGTTGGTGAGTGAGTTGTCAAGTTCTCACAGTGAGGTGTGGCTGGTTGAGATTTGGGTTGCATCTTTCTGTTACTCTAGATAGAGGCAAAGATGAGTGGATCCACAGAGGCTGGGGACAACTGAGGTACTCCCTGCTTGCTTGTCTGCAGCCCTTCTTCTCCCTCTCTTGTAATCTGGCTGAAAACGCTCATCACAGACTAGACCCCAGAACCATGCCCTGGCCTGTCATCTGCTGTGTCTGCCTCTCCAGCTTCTGCGTAATACTTTTGTTTTGTTTTCCCCACTCGAGTCCCATTCCATTTTTGTTCTTTCTTAAGCTCTTTAAACTCATTTCTTTCTAAGGGCCTTTGCACATGAGCTCACCTGCCAGGAGTTCTCTCCCCTCATCATAGAGTGACAAAAATACTGTACTGCCTTTAACAGTTTCTTTGAGGAGCAAAAAAGTCACTGTATGAAAGACACTTGGAACATTAGCCCATAGTAAGTATATCATTAGCATTAATTACAGTTACTCTTACTATTATGTATTAGCATTTTTTACTAGTAATAGCTATAGTTAAATAATTATTCAAACTCAGTTCCAACATTTATAATCTGTGTGTCTTTATATTAGTCATGTAATCTCCCTGAACCTTGGTTTCCTCACTTAGAAAGTGTGGTTAATGATAGTATTCTAGCTGCATGGATTTGTCATGAGGATATAATGAAACAGTGCGCACCAAGTGATCTGCCACGGCCTGGGAGCTGATGACCATGGACAGAAGGAGGGAGGCTCAGGGTGAAAGAAGGGTGGTGTGGAGGCTGGAGGTAGGTAGGGACAGCCAAGATTTGGTGAATGAGAGGCAGAGAAGTGGGGAATAGAAGTAGCTTAGAGGGCTGGTGCTGTGGTGTACGCTTGTGATCCCAGGAGCTCAGGCAGCTAAGGCAGGAGCATCAAGAGTTCAAAGCCAGCCTCAGCAAAAGCCAGGTGCTAAGCAACTCAGTGAGACCCTGTCTCTAAATAAAATACAAAATAGGGCTGGGGATGTGGCTCAGTGGTGGAATATCGCTGGCTTGAATCCCTGGTACCCACCCTTTTCCTCCTCCCCCCTGACACCCCCCCCCCAGGAAAGAAAGGAGTAGCTGAGAGGAAGGGAAACATCTTTTAATTTTAAAAGAGGAATACAGATTAAGGAGAGAGAAAGGCCATCTAATTTTGGCTCATTGGAGGGTTTTGGAAGCTTATAGAGGGGTAAGAAGTTGGCATTCCTCTTCCCAGCATGGCAAGTGCCAAGAAAGGAACTTAGGGTAAGGTCTTGGAGCAGGATTTCCTCTTTCTCACTCTCCTGAAAATGAAAATATGGCCTTGATTTTTAAAATCCCAGGGGTGGAGAGAGGCAGGGAGGTCTAGGCATT